AGCTCGCACCCTAGCCGGCGGCAGTGTGCTCCTGAAAACCTCACGGGGCTTCCCCCACGGGCTGCCTGCCAGGGCTTTTCACCCCATTCTCCCAAACCAGCTATTCAAATCCGACAGAAAGTACAAGGACAAGTGTTAAAGAGAAACCACTGGAGTATATTTTTTTGAAGCAAAGCTGCCCCTTTCTATCTGCCACCGCCTCGCTGTGAACCATGCGACCCCTGGAGGACCCCATGCCTCAGGGACCCGGGCCCTGGCTGAGCGGCAACGGTGGATCCCATGAAGGCAGACAGGAGACCAGGACACAGTGCGGGAAATGGGGGCCGGAGCCCCGAACCCCTAGAACGCCCAGTTCCCTCGCCTCTCCGAACCACGCAGAACAGACCTCTGGCTCATCTGTTAGTTTGTCCTTCTTGTGCAGGCAGGGTGAGGGTCCTTTGATTAGATACCAGTTCTATGCATCCCAAGGAAACCTTTGCTCCCTGCAGTCTGCCTTATGTCTAAAAGAATGCCCCAAGTCACTCAGGCATTGTCCTCTCAACGAATCCTTCCGTGGGTCCCCCAAGGCAGACGAGTCCCTGTCCTCTGTTCCAGCCCCCTCTCAGCGCACGCCTATTTCTGCTCTAATACAACGCACACTGCAGCATAACTTATGTCCCCATGTGCCTCTCCAGGCCACTGTGACCTCTGGGGGGGCACGGGACAAGGACCACATGTTCTTCCATCTCTGTATTTTCAGCACCTTGCATGGTGCATGAAATATAAGTTCCTAATAAATGTTGGTTCAACTGAAATCAACACAATCCAATGGGCGCAAAACCCAAAGAAAGAATAAACCGGTTTTCCAGGATATGTTGGTTCCCAAGAAGGAACAGAGACAAGTGCATGGAAAAGAGTGTGGGTTTGCGGGAGGCGGAGCACAGAGGGCTAACCTATTAGGGCTTTAGGAGACCAGCCAGCAACTCTAGATCAGCTCTGTCACTCACGGTCCCCATGACTTCCTCCTCTGGGCCTCAGTATTTTTGCATTAAAACGAAAGAGCTGAACAAAATGATTTCCAAGAACATTTTCAGCCTTTAAGAGCAGGAGCAAAACAGATCCTGGGGAGGTCACCGTGGTTCCTATTTGCATTACGCACCATTTGGGAGTCACCACGGATGTCAGCTCAGCTCTGTCAGGTTTCAGATCTCAGAGTCTGAAACGTCTGAGCCATCTCGCAATATCCAGCAGAACGCCTTGGCCAAGTCTGCGAGGCCCCTGCAGGCTCGGAGAGTGGGAAGGCGCTGCTGTTGGCAGGCGCGCTGGGGCTGTCTGGGAGGCCAGGAATGCCACTAGGGTTCTGAGGATGGTGCCGGAGGCAAAAGCAAATGAGGTGGGGGCCGTCTTTGCAAAGAAGGGCTTTAATGACCCCAAGAAGATGTCTACAGAACTCCAAGCCTCTCCTCTGCAGAGAGTGAAACTGAGACCTGGAGCCTGGAACAGTCTGGGTGCCAAGTTGCGAAACAATTAATGCAGCCCTGGCCCGGGGATAGGAGGCAGGATCCTGCCCAAGGGCCGGGCTCCTGGGGTCCTGGGGCCAGAGGAGAGAGGAGGAAGCCCTCAGGTCCTCTGGGCTGCCAGAGGGGTGCTGAGGAATCCACAAGGGTTCCACAACTGAACAGTAAACCTTATTCTAGAATTCTTTGTGACCAAACCAGCTCTTCCACGGGCTTGTGCTGTGAGAGTGTATGTGTGTATGTGTGTGTGTGTGTGCACAGAGCACTCCCTGGGAAGCAGTGAAGACCAGATGACCGGTGGATTTTATTTTTCACTTTCTTTGGCGCTTTTTGCCATGCGGGAGGGCACCTCGGGAGAGGGTTATGGTTTAGATCTCATAAGGCAAAGCCTTGTCCAAATATAACTTCTTTGAGTCAGCAGTCTGATGCGCAGCCATGGGCTCAAGCAAGGTTAAGTGACCGGGGGACCAGAGGCCCCTTCCCGGGGGCTGCCCACAGCCTGCCTCCAGGCAACATCCTGCCCTGGAGGGCTGCCTGGCGGACACAGGAGACAGGGACCTCCTGGTACAAAGCCCCACATACCCCCGAGGCTCCAGGACCTCCCAGGACTCCTCGCGGCCAGGCCCACGGATACTCCACCCCACTGTACCTGCAGGATCAAAGGCTCCTGACAGCCAGTTCTGTGGAGGTCCCTGACTTCAGGAGGAGCCCAGCCGGGGGAGGGCCTCGCCCGTGCCGCCAAGCGGGCCCCCAGCCCTGAGGTCAGCAAGAAGGCTGCTTTGAGATCATTACCTTCCGCGTGCTGGCGCGGAGCTGTGAGGAGCAGAATGCACACCCCCTAAAGAAACCCTCGGCCATCACTTCTGGCAACACTTCATGCTGTTCTCTTAGCCCAGTGCTCTAGGGGGATGCTGTGGCCTGCCAGGGGAGTGAGAAGGGGGGAGACCCTGCTCCAGCACAGACCCTGGCATTGCCCCAGTGGCAAAATGGGCACAGCAAATGCGGGCCCAGCAAAATGCAGGCACAGCATATTTCCAGGCTCGTATGGTTGTTCCCAGGCTTGGAAGGGCCCTCCGCTCAGTCTTTCATTCATTTATTCAGCAAAAACTGTACCATGGGATTCCTTTCCCCAGGCTTGAAGTCATAAGTGCATATATGACATGGCATATACATAGACACATACATGTATAGTGTGTGAGTGTATGTATGTGCCCACATATATACGCACTCCCACAATATATGTAATATTGATTCTGTAGGGTAACATGGATATATCACATAGAGAATATATATTGAATATATACTCTGTAGGTGAAATGTATTTGTAGGGTAGTAGTGATGACCCCATTTTATAGATATGGAACCTGAGGCCAACAGGTTGAGTCTCACGCCTGGAAGAGAGAGAGAGAGAGACAGGGACGATGGGAGACCAGAGGAGCCCTCCACACAGCACCCAGCTCTGGGCAGAGACAGAGAACATGGAATGGTGAACTAGGGTTGGCTTTTTCAGCCAACCACAGGATTTCAGAAAATGGCCAAGCCCTGTTGTTCGGGGGCAGACAGGGGAGGCGCTGTGAGCGAGACCCCAGGCACCCCGAGGCCCAGGCCAGCGCCCCTTCCCCACCAGGGAGCCAAGCGGCAGTTTCCACGGCAGCCGGCAGGGGGCGGTGCACCTTGCCTTTTCCGAACCTCCAGGGCACTTTGCCGCAGACCCGGGGAAAGAAAACCTGGCGGCTCCGCCGGCAGCTTCTAGGAACAGCCCAGCTTTGAGCCCCGCACGTAGTAGGTGCTCAAGGCGCGTGGAGAAGCCAGAAGGGCTTGACTGGGTAGACGAATGTGAATACAATAGTAGAAACGGGGAGGGGAAGCAGGCAAGGGGGCGTCCCGGCCCCTGCCAGCGCCTTCCATCTTAGCGGCCTTTTCCAACAGCGTTAGTACCTACTATGTGCCAGGCGAGGTGGCGACGACAGGACAACCTCGTCCCTCGCTTATCTTGTTTTCTCCGCTGGCGAGTACCCCTCCACACGCACACACTCAGCCGTAGAGCGGGGGTGGGCGCTCGCCGTCTCCCTGGGGAACCATCTCGGCAGAGATCCGCGGGGAGTGGAGAGCCGCGAGGGGAGTGGAGAGCCGCGAGGGGAGTGAGCCGCAAGAGGCGAGGATTCCCGGAGGTGGGCAAGCGAACGCGGGAAGGTCGCTGCCCTCAGGGTCAAGGCTGTCTCCCGCTGCGGGACACGCGGAGCCCGCGACACGCAGTGGCCCACCCAGCACCCATCCACTCGCGCACTTCTGGGCGCGCACGTGTCAGCTCGCCGCGCGGGAGGCGCAGGCTGGGACCCTCAGGTGGGAAGGAAAAGAGACTCAAGGCTCCAGGCAACGGACACAGCCCAGAGGATCCGGACACCCGTCCCCAGAGGCCGGGCTGCGGGGTAAGGCGAAGGCGCGCTCGGGCGTATCTGTGCCCAGCGTGGGCACAGCCTCAACACCCACCTCGAGTTCAGCCGTGCTTCCGCCCACAAGGTCACGCTCAAACACACTCACGCTTAGCAAAGAAGGACCTGAAAGTTGCGCCCCGTCCCGATCCCCAATCTAGCTGTACCCCAAACCGGGCTCTCCGCCCCAGAGTCATCGCTCCCCCCCTTACGCTCTCTGAAGGAGCTGCCCCTGGCCCGCCCGGGTCACCCACCCGAGGGACGCAGACAAGTTGCTAACTTTTGTCAGATTATTTCGCGGCATCTGAGGCGCCTAACGGGTTTGGGGCGGACTCAGAGTTTCGAGTTGCCACCAGTGCCACCCCGCCAAGCTCCCCTTCGCCTACCCGAGTCCCTCACTGCCCACCACGCCACGTCTAGCTGCCCCGTCGGGGGCGCCAACTTCTCCACCGCATCCGGAGCAACGCGGGCCGGCGGCGTCCCCGGGGGTGATGGCCACCTCCCGGATCCGCGCCTGCTCGCCCCGGATTTGGAGGCTCCCTCCGGATACTGTCCCGCGGCCGTTCCCCCAGATCACCGGCGGCCTCCGCGACCCCGAGCCCGCTCCAAAGCACCCAAGCGCCGCCGCCGCGTGGGGTCTCCTCCCACCAGCGGCCCCGACCTGGGAGACTCTAGCCCGGCGCCGGGTGCAATGTCACTGGGGCCACCCTGAGGACCGCTGCCCGGGAAAAGCGCAGGCTCCCCGCTGAGCTCCGGGCTGCTCTTCTAGTAACGGCCAGAGACCTCCCTGGAGCCCGAGCCTCCTCCCCGACCTCCTTCCTCTCCCAAAGATCCCGGGGACGCCGTGGCTAGGGAAGAGGTCTCCCTACGTGTGTCTTCCTCCTGGCGCCTGGGGTCTTCGGTCCCACTTCCACTGTCACACCCTCCTAGACCCTTCCCCACCACTTCTGTTCCCGCAGCCGGGCAGTCACGCCTCCGCTCGGAGAACACGCACGAAACTGCCGAGCCCCAACTCCGGCGGACGCAGCCCCCGCGCGCCCCGGGCAGCGTCCGGCTCCGCGCGCTCACTCACCGCGGCCGGGGACACGCTGGAGTTTCCGGGGCTTGGGGAGGAGGGGGTCAGGAGGGGAATCCAAGGAGGGTATCCCGAACCCTCGCCTTCTTCCCAGCTCACATAACCTCTTCCTTCGCTCTCTCCTCCTCCTCTTCCTCCTCGTCCTCCTCTTCCTCCTCCCTCTGGTCTTTGTCTTTGCAAAGTGTCGAAACTGTCTGGCATAGTGGAGCTCCGCCGGCGGAGGCTGGAGCCGGGGAAGCGGGGAGGCGGGGTGAGGATGGGAGCGGCCTCGGGAACACCTTCCCCCGGGTGTAACGGGCGGGGGAGGTGGGCCGGCCGGGGAGGAGCCGCCTTCCCAGGCCGCCCGGGGCCGGCAGCCGGGGCGCGCCGGAGCGGGGCGGGCGCCTCCGCCGCGCAGGCCCTCCCCT